TAAAACTAAAGAACAAATATTCAATATTATTGTCATTCTTAGTGTTGAATTGATTTTCTTTTTGCATTAGTATTAATTTGATTTTGATTTAAGCTTTATTATAATTACCAACATATGTGGACTATAATCTTTATTGGCCCATTCATAATTCTAAGTTTCAAACTTGAAATAATATATTAAATATTAAAAACTATGGAAAAGTATAAGAAATATTTAAAAATTATATCAAAGTAAATATTTTTATGTATAAAATAAAATTTTAAAATTATATATATAAATTCGGGTTGGTTTTTTTTAGTTAAAACCAAACCAACCCAAATATAGTCGGGTTTTATTTTTCAAAACCAAACCAAGTCAAACCAAACCACTAGTTGGATTTTTTTTTCGGGTTGACTCGGTTTGCGGTTTGGTTCGGTTCTCGGTTCGGTTTTGTACACCCCTACTAAAAACTATCAAGATGGGCTTAATGGTTGAAGAATGGGAACAAAAAAAAAAAGAGGAAATACAAACTAAAATGAGAATATTTGTTACTTGACTATGGTTAAGTTAAAAAAATGTGTGAAAAACACAGTATTACATTTTTTAATCTGGTCTCAATTACTTACCAACTAGGAAAAACAACTTCAAGAGGATCATCAGTCAAATAGAGTAACCCTAAACTTCATTTCATTTTGCTTGTCACAACCAAATTTACTACAAAGAAGTTTTCAAATGTCTCATTTTACCTAATCTTCATTTTTGACATGCTATAATTACTATGCTTAAGATTGAGATCAATGATATGTCCATGAACGAACTCCTTTTTAGTGTATGAATGAGTGTAACACAAACAAGCTCCTCAGTTGTCCTTTCAGTTCCACATATAGCTCTGGTCTATGACCAAAAGCATCAGAAATTGGAACGATATAAACATCTTGACAACTTCATCATCGGAGCTTCTTTTGTTTACTTCCAACTATAATATTAAACCCTCCAAACATAGGTATGTAAATGTAGGAACTTCTCCATTAGAAACAGAAAGAGTTAACAGAAACCCAAACTTCTATTTGGTTACGATAAAGATTTGGTTGCCAGATGTACTGCCCTACAATCTCCAAATGAGTTGAAAATGATCCATCTAGAATTAGGAAATCAGTTTCTTCAATCTACCAATTCCAAATCTTGGATAAAATTGTTTTTCTTATGTCATACTTGATTGTAAAACTTCCAATGTACCTTGATTATGGAAGAACATGTGAGCGAAATATGAGGGGATAGGTGCAGCAAAATCCACTACTCCAACACACAGAAAGCAATGGTCCCTGCTTAAACTTGTCATGAAATGAAAAGGCTATTGGCTTGGGGTCATTTCCAGGACCCCTAATGAACCCAACCAAAGATGCTGAAATCAGTGGACTTCTTCTAACATCATATATTGCTATAAGACCCCTGTACAAGTCATTCCCATCTCTATAAGACAAGGCTAGACGCTCTCCTGAAGCATCCCATGCTATCTTATCTATTCCTCGACTTCCAGTCAAGGACTGTATATCTGACAACTCAACGGGTATAAGATGTGCATCTAGAGACGGTGGCCTGGTTGCAAAGTGAATGGAACCCAAGGTTGAAGATTCAGAGAAAGCAATGAGTATTCTACTACCATCAGGATCCCAAGCTGCTCCCATGACAAAACCATTAGTTGAGGACCATGGTTCTGATGTCCATGTATTAGTCTCCCAGAGATAGAATGTCCCATCAAATTTTGCAGAGAAGAAATAGTCTCCTGATGGGGACCATCTCAATAAGGAGATGCCCCCTAAGCCACGTCGAATAGGTGTTCCCACTCCTTGAGCAACATCCCAAATGATGAATGAAGAGCTCTCAAATGAAGCTGATGCCAAATACTTCCCATTTGGGCTCCAGGAAAGGGCAGTAATTTGTTCATGTTCAGGACTTAGAAGGACGTCCACAAGAGTCCATTTAGTTCCTGAGCCTCTAGAGAGAGTACCCAATGTAACACCTGATCTCACTGAAGCTGTATTGCCTGGAAATGAAGCAGCCCAAATGCAAATGCCACCCTTGCAGGCGACAGCAAGTGCCCTCCCACCATTTGGCCGCCATGAAAGACTTCTAACATCTTTTTGGGAGTCATTGATCAAAACGCAAGGACTCCCTCCCTCAGAATCTTCATAATCACGAATTGTCACCTGATGTTGTCCGGAAATAAAGGCTAATATATGCTTGTGCTGGTGCCAATCAAGGACATGGAAATCAACATCTTGTAACAATTTTACATCAATGGGG